TACCTGAAGCACTAGGTGCTAAAAATGGTAGAGAAGAAATAGAAAAGATGAAAACACTCCTAGATTTAAAACACTCCTAGACTTACTTCTTTATTTCTATCACTTAAATAATAAGTATATTACTTTTTTTCTTTTTTTTGGTCAGTTGTGGGGCTTGAACTCAGGGCCTGGGCGCTGTCCTTGGGCCTCTTTGTGCTCAGGGCTAGCCCTGTACCACTTGAGGCACAGCCTCATTTCTGGTTTTTGAGTGGTTAACTGGAGATCAGAGTCTCACTGGGACTTTTCTGCCTGAGCTGGCTTCAAACTGCAATCCTATCTTAGCCTCCTGAGTAGTAAGAATTACAGGCGTGAGCCATCAGCAACCAGTTATAAATGTATTTTTAAGCTCATCCTGGGGATTTTTGTTTCTTTCTTTCTTTTTTTTTGGTTGGTCGTGGGGCTTGAACTCTGGGCTTGGGCACTGTCCCTGCACTCTTCAGCTCAAGGCAAGTGCTCTACTACTTGAGCCACAGCCCCACTTCTGGTTTTCTAGTGGTTTATTGGAAATAAGAGTCTGGGGGGAGGTGCGGGGGCTTGGAAGTTGGCTCAGTGGTAGAGCGCTTGCCTTGCATGCCTGAGGCCCTGGGTTTAGATTCCTCAGCACCACATAAGCAAAAAGAAAAAAAGCCAGAAGTGGTACTGTGGCTCAAGTGGTAGAGCGCTAGCTTTGAGCTGAATAGCAGAGGGACAGCGCCCAGGCCCAGAGTTCAGGCCCCACGACTGGAAACCCCCCTCCCCCCAAAAAAAGTCTCACGGACTTTCCTGCCTGGGCTGGCTTTGAACTGTGATCCTCAGATGTTAGCCTCCAGAGTAGCTAGGATTATAGTCGTAAGTCACCTGGCTGAATATTTGTTTCTTTTGAGACAATGTCTTATTCCTTGTTCCCTTTTGGTACCAGGCTGGTACCAAATCCACGGATTGAGGTTTTAAAGAGTCCAGCTAAGGAAGTACATAAAATTCTTATCTCTAATTAACCAGCAAAAAGCCAAAAGTGGACTAAGTTGTGGATCAAGTGTAGCCTTGACCAAAAGAGCTAAGGGACAGTGCAGAGGCCAAGTTTAAGGCCCAGTTCTGGAGTAAAAAAAGAATATACAAAGACTAACAGCAATAAAAGCACTAAGAAATGATATAGGTCACGATTCAAGTTAGAAGATTTTAGATTACATTTGTCAAAATTTTTTTAGTTGTTTTTTATATAGTGAAAAGCAAAATGTCTATTTTTTACTTACTTGAGAATAAGCTTTTCTACAGCACTTTGTCCAATAAAACCAGAGTCCCTTAAATCCAAGGTATACTGATTGAAAATTTTTCCAGAATTTAGGAAATTAAATATTTCTTCGCCAGGATGATGATCAGGAATAGCATCAATTGTAACAGAAAATTTTTTTAGAAATTCCCTGAAATACAAAAAGTTATTAAATACTAAGTAGTTAAACTGCATACGTTTTTGTACTAAAAAGATGGGAGCAGGAAAAACTTTACATTCTGCTAATTGTCAAGAATCACTAAATGTGTCTGTATGAAAAGAAACTATAACCAGGAGAAAAGATGTAACTTCAACCTACCATTTCCTGCTCGACAAACCCCAGGTACATTACTCACTATGCAAACTGCCAGCAATGGCTCAATTATTTTACAAAAATGAAAACTACAAAATGTAAACCTTAAATGGTATATGTTGTATGTGTATATGCATACATGAGAACATATGAAAAGTGATATACCTGTGTTCTTCCAAGAGGCCATCTTCATCATCTGTACTATCTTGATCACCAAGTCTGATTGGAGATTTAATGCCTCGGCCCTGCCTTATATCTTCCTGTAGTTGCTTCTGTAGTTCATCTAGCCTGAGATTCGAAAGAATGCCATAATAGTTTATTATTAAAATTAAAAAACAAAGCTTTAGTTGATATTTAAAAGCAGCACCGAGAAAAAAATCATTAAGTATCCTGCTATATTAAAAATTTGTTACACCATAGGTCTAATCATATGTCCAAATAAATATTATGATGTTTACCAAAACAAAGAAAGTTTACTCTGGGTAATAGGCTTTTGTCTAGCTATCAATATAGTATTAGAATAGTGTTCCATTGCATACAAGACTCAAGTATTTCTTTATAACTAGGACTTCAAGAATGACTTGTCCAAATCATCCAGAGTGTGAACAGAAAAGCAGCAAAACAACACCGATTTGATTTTTCACTGTGTGTGTGAAAGCTCTAGTGCTAGAGCTTGAATTTAATGCCTCATAATCCTGACTCCACTCATTTGCTCACAACTGTTTTTCTACCTCTTGAGCCACCGCTCCAGTTGAACTATTTTGTTGGTTAATTGGAGATAAGAGTCTTGAGGACTATTCTGCCCAGGCTGACTCCAAACCATGTCCCTCAGATGTCAGCTTCCTGAGTAGCTAGGAATAAGGGCATGAGCCACCAGTGCCTAGCAGCAATACTTGATTTTAAATAAGCCTTTTCAGATTTTATGTTCCAGATCCGATGAATTAACAAAACACTGTATTATTTTTTTACAAGAGAGGTAACTTCCCTAAATTCAGAGCAAGAAAAATTATTTTTAGCCTAAGGCTCTGCAAAAATCTCTACAGCTACTTGTTTATGAAGTTTGGGCTACATATGTGTGTGTGTGTGTGTGTGTGTGTGTGTGTGTATGTGTATATATATGTATGTATATATATGTATACATATATGTGTATATATGTATGTATGTGTATATATATGTATGTGTATATATATATATATATATATATATATTTGCCACCTTCTATGTAATCAAGTCAAGTAAACTTTACCTCAACTTATTTATTTTTGGTAGTAATGGGGTTTGAGCTCAGGGCCTAATATTTGTTTTAGGCAAGTGCTTTACCACTTAAGCCGTCCCAATACCCATAAATCACATAAACTTTTCTTTGCTAGTTTCATGGATATTTCTTGAATTGATAAGGAATGCACTTCCCTTCTTATTAGCAAAAATGGTCTGCAATTAATCACATAATTATTTTTGTCAGTCGTGGGGCTTGAACTCGGGGCCTGGGCACTGTCCCTCAGCTCTTCAGCTCAAGGTTAGCGCTCTACTACTTGAGCCACAGCACCACTTCCGGTTTTCTGGTGGTTTATTGGAGATAGGAGTCTCACGGTCTCTCCTGCCTGGGCTGGCTTTGAACCGCGATCCTCAGATCTTAGCCTCCTGAGTAGCTAGGATTACAGGCGTGAGCCACCACACCCGGCATGGGAGGAAAGAATTCTTAAGTACTGTTAACTGTCAAGCTATTCTTTAATCCAAATCATATATTAACAGAACTGCCTTCATAAACTACTTACTAATAAAACAAAGTACATTTTCTCCTTCCTCTTCTACTCTTTATCTACCTTAGCCTACTTTAATTTTCTTCACAGCACTTAAGAATTTACACATACATTTATACCCTTTATAAAGACACACACACACATAATTCATCTATATCCTAGAATGTGGGCCCTATGAGAATAAATTGATTTTTTTCACTGCTATTCTGTCTAGTGGCTGGCACAGTTGGCCCTCAAAAATGATAACTGTATGAACAAAAATTAACAAATGAGATTCCTTGAAACACTATCTTCCATGACAGAAACACCATATGTTTTTCTGCTCGGTTCACATGTAATAGTCATGGTTCTTTGATATCAACATTTTAAAAAATACTATTTCTGGGGAAAACTTTTATATATTTAAAAGATTCTTTCATGCTATGAATAATTTCCTCCAAGTATGTGCACTTTTTTTTTCAGTGCAAGTCCTAGGGCTTGAACTTAGGACCTGGGTGCTGTCGTTCAGCTTTTTTGCTCAAGGCTTAAGTTCTACCATTTGAAACATACCTCCACTTTTGACTTTTTAGTGGTTAATTTGAGTTGAGTCTTTCCTGTCTGGCAGGTGCTGGGCATATTTTTATGTATTTAGGATTTTATTAAAATAGAATATTCAGTAATTAAGAAAAATGCTTGACATGCATAATCTTTCCTGTCTAGAGGAGGTGAAGAATTCCACTCTAACTGGGTATCACTACACTACTAATCAGTACAGAACCTAATGTAGTATAAAAAGCTTCTCCATAACCTCTCAGCTTTCCCAACATATACTGCACTTTTTGGAAAATATGTCCTTTTTGTTTTAGGTATTTTGGGGATAGGACCTCATGTTTATGCTGGCCACCTTAGATTACAATTCTTCTATTTACACTTCCCACACAGCTAGGCTGACAAGCGTGTGTGCTTGTTCAGCAATGGTTCAAATGGGGTCTCACTAACTGGAATTACAGCCATGAGCCCAGCATCCAGCTACAAAATAAACACTATATTTAATCCTATACTGATTATTCAAATGTCAAAAGCAATACATTTCTACTCCTGTCTAGAGGAACATCAAGATTCTGCTTCGATATTTTATAAGCTGCTACTTACACAACAAAAATATAATTAATGGGGACTGGGAGTGTCACTTAGTGGTAGAGTGCTTGCCTAGCATGCATGAAGCCCTCAGTACCACATAAACAGAAAAAGCCAGAAGTGGCGCTGTGGATCAAGTGGTAGAGTTCTAGCCTTGAGCAAAAGAAGCTCAGGGACAGTGCCCAGTCCCTGAGTTCAAGCCCCAGGACTGGCCA